AGTGATGAGCAATCTTTTTTCCGCGCTTAATGGTTCTCTAAACTTGGTCCAGTGTTTCGTTAAACAAGTTCTCAATTATCAAGTAAAATATAGTAAGTTTTTTTTCCATTTTATAAAATGTCTGAAGCCTGTCTAGGTATAATTCTAATTCATTCATATCATTGAAAGTGCCACCACATTTCAATTTTTTTTTTCTCCACAAAGGATGTACCCAAAATCTCCTTCTGGCACTTAGAATGTTTGTAATCTGTAGCAAAGCAAGGGCATGTTCATCCTCTTCAGACGACATTTTGGCTCAAACATAAATCTGAAACATGTTATGGTTCCACAGGTTGGTGCAAGCAGTATCACCCGTGGTTACGTCAGAGCATCTCAGAATCATGTTACAAGCTATGTCGAAATCATGTAGCTTAGGTGGGCGCCGCGACATATACGCAAAGTTCAAAAAATTTATTAAATTAAGTTAGTATAAAAAGGGTTATTACGAGTATAATATTAAGGAATTTATGGCTGATAATAACCCATGGGAGGGTGATCGCTACCAAGCTATTTCTAATCTGTCTTGTGTTATTAATTGTAAACATGATTGTAATCTATTGTTTGAAAAAAATAGTCTCGCTGTGATTCTTGCTGATTCTTCCTAGGACAGAGGTTTTTTTGGCGAACCAGTGGTAAATGAAAAAAGTGACTTTCATAAGTATACATTGAACAAAAAAAGTTCCCGTTTCTGTTATATTGCCTCATATTTTGTCATAGTTGGCATGCTTATCAGGCGGATCAACCGCAGTTTTTATTGATTTGTTATCCGGAAGATGCTGCGGCCCATCTGTTTCAATTGCCCTCTGTCGCCTCTTTTGACACTCACGGGACGATATGGGTGGTGAATATTTCTCACATGTTTCAGAATTAATCGCAGTAAAACTTTTGAATAAAACAATGAAACATTTTTACAAAGTTTAATTCCGAAAAATACTAACTGAGATCCAAATCTAGACAGTAAATCTTTTGACGAGTAAAATAATTTATATAATTTCTAAAATAAATAAAATCTTAAAATTATATTACAGCAATATAAACCACCTTGATCTTAATAAGTAAGCCATTCTGGAGGCAATCATAAAATTATAGTCCAAAGTCGTCCATCAGTTTATTTTTCTACATGGAATTTTCGAACTACAATTATTTTTATTGTACTTTTTATAATTCATTGATAGATTCCATAAAAGTCAAATCATGCTATTATACTTTTCATTATCATTGATTCAATACGTTAAACCAAATACAACACAGTTATATTGAATATAAAGAAAATAAAATTATGATCACAATACATAAAATTCCGGGACAAATGAAAAGGCGGGAATGTAAAATTATATATATTAAACGCGACAAAATCTGTAAAAGTAGTTTTAATCAATATAAAATGCACCTGAACAAGTCTGCAGCCATTTTCAAATACCGCCGCCGTGCCAAATATGATATGAATCAACAATAGCATGATGTTGTAGATTACTAATTAATTGATAGAATCAGGCGTTACTTTGCGGAAATCCATTGTAATAAAGATATTGGGTGCGTTTGGCAGAAAAAAGCGCTAGCAAGCGCTTATAAGCGATGAAATAGTTTTCGGCCAGGACACGATTGCTACTTCAGTAGCGCTGACACAATCCGCCATTTTGCTTATTTAATTTGTTTGTTTTGAAGTAGAGTTTATAAGTTGCTTTGTGCAATATTAGTTTTAAGTAATATAATGACATGAATAAACATATACATGTTATTAAAAATTCATGATTGGTAAGTTTTTAATATGAATACTTTACAAACATATATTTAAATTAGGTTAGGTTCTCCGGTTAAAACTAACATCGTGTCCTGGAAGAAAATAGCTACTTACGATTTGACAGCGCTTACCTCTTACGATCGCCGATTGCTTACAAGCGCTTGCTAGCGCTTTTTTCTGTCAAACGCACCCATTAATAGTTATTTTGCAACCATCCGCTAAATAAAATAAAATGATGTGTCTTCCTTAGTTTGAAGAGCACCTCCCGCCCTCTAAGCCCGCTAAGTTTAGCGGTCAGCCGCCGTAGAGTCAACATCACCTGAAGATGCCTCGTGTAGAGGCGAAACACGTGTCGTATTATCGTCGATGGTGTGTCTTTCCTAGAATAGTGGTGTTGGGAGTAGTGTTGCTGGGATTGGTGGTGACGGGATTAATTAGTGCGCGCAATTGAGGGAGGGCGGGAGGTGCTCTACAAACTAGGGAAGACACATCATTTTATTTAATTCAGCGGATGGTTGCAAAATGATTACTAATTAAACTATGTTTTACACAATAGAATGTGTGACTATGGAGATATGTGAGATCCGTCTCGGCTATCACTGGTGATTTCTGGATCTTTTTTTTAAAGAATATTAACAATGCTATAAACATTACTAATATCCCACTTAACCACTCGTGGTAAGCTTAAATAGCTTGTGTTACGAGTAGTTCACGCCAGTAGTCGAATGGCGGATTCGAACCTACGACGCCATTAGGCTACTGTCGCTATTTCCGGACCTCAACAAGAGCTCCACCTACGGGGTCCATCCAGGGACCCACTCAAACACACACAAATAATTTCATCATAATCGGTCGAGCCAGTTTCGAGTTTTATGGAGACTAACGCACAGCAATTGATTTTTATATATAGAGAGTAGAGACTATGGCGCGATTTGATCCGTCAAAACATCTCAATATAACTAATATGAACTTGGTACCACAAATGTACGTGATAAAAATCAAACACCCACCAATTCACCCATGATGTGTCCATGTCATGGACGTCTGTCTGATGGACAGCGTACTACGTTAACTCTGTCTAGATCTTACGTACTTTTAAGAGTAATCCTTATTTGCGGCCACATTTTAATAGGCAACCCTAGTATATTATGAAGACAAAAAAAATAGTTTTAATTTGTTATATGATTCATCAAGATACGCTATGACCGTATTATTACTACTACACACAGACAGAGAGAACAATTTTTTTTTAATTTTTTATACATTTTTCGTTGATATTTTGTTCGGTTTATATTACATTGATAATTTAAAAAAAAATACAAAATTGTTCATAAAAAGTTCATTAAAGGAATTTTAATTAAAAATTCTTGATGATTTCTTATATTTACGCGAACACTACACATTGATTAAAACTAATCATCTCAGTCCCCTGTGACCATGGGTGCTGGAAAGTGCCCGAAACGTCGGGAATTAAAAATAAAAGTAATTAAAAGTAAAATAAACGCGATAAAATCCGTAAAAGTAGTTTTAATCAATAAAAATTCTTGAGTCCAAATTTTAATAGGCTATCCGACAAACACTCAAAAAGAAATCAGTTTCTAGAACAATTTTGACTAGCTATCAACTTAAAAAAATAGTGCATTTAACAGAAATCATATGCCAATAACCACGTGAAGACATCATACTTCTACGAGGCCTGAGGGGGGAGCGGGGTGTACAGCACCGCCGTCTCATGCAGAGAATGGACACGAGTTATGGATTAACAATAATGCGTTTGATACGTTTTCGCATAAAAATGCAGACACCTGCTGGCCCAAGTCTTCTCTCATTTCTTAGTTCATGGAGTAAGAGAAAACATCTTCTGCGCTTTTAGTGTTTTTGGTGGATTTCAACTATCCTCGACATATTTTTAATTCTTCGGGCTCATTACAGGCAGATCTCCTATGTCTTCCATCACTGACAAGCACTCGATGAGGACATAACATTGCCATTTACATTATCAGCCAGTGGTCATGGCAACGTTATTATTGTGGAAGTATGTTTATTGGGATGTTTATCCTTCAATCAACCTCGAGATTTTTTAAATAATTAAAAAAATTTAGGCCTAGCTAAACGAGCAGGTAATAGCTATTTTATAATACATAATACATAAAATCAGACTGCTCGGCAAATAATTAACGTGGAGGCCTATGTTCGGCAGTGGGCTTTGATAGGCTGTAAAATAGATTTGATTGTGTCTCATATATATCACCATCGGCATCGGCGGTAAGCATTTCGATTTTTTTAGCTCGAGCAATTGCTTTATTTAGTTCTTAGCGTTTTTAAGCGTGTAGTTTTAGATATTGTGATCATAATTGATAACTGAGTACATCCCCAATATGCAGTGAATGAAGCATTTTTATATTACCGTCATGAAAATAGTACCGCCATAAAAAAGTAATTCGCACAGATTCATTCTTTCTTTGAGAAGGAAATGTACGAAGTCAATTATCAATTCTAATGTACGATTCATAGCTAAGTAAAGATAAGGCGATCTTTATTGCAGGAAACGTAACTAGCAGACATATGAAACATTCGAAAAGACTCGCTAAACAACCCTAGTAAATTAGAATCTAGTAGAAGTAAAACATTTCAACATTGCTATTTCATCTACTTTATATTGACAATTTATAAGTGCTAATTTGATGAAGAATTGCTATAATTAACAACAAAATACTATTTAAACTATATTATATCGGGCTCTAAATAAAATCTACCATAACGTCAGAATTAAAATCTGCAGAATATTAGTATAAAATGATTACAAAACACTAACAGATTTTTAATCATGTCCAAAAAAACGAGAAGGTCATATATATATATATATATATATATATATATATATATATATATATATATATATATATATATATATATATATATATACAACGCGTATGTTTTTTTATATATGTTAACTGATTTTTCACAGCTGAAACGATTATATTAATTCTTTTTTAATAGATAGGCTATACTTCAAGGGCGGTCCCATATAAATTAAAGAAAATAATCTGTCCCCAAACATCCTCTCGTTATTTCCATAAAAGTTTAAAATTTCACTTTAACATTAAATAGTCTAGTTTCATTTCCAATGAAATATACCAGCCTTTGAAAACGAAAATAGCGAAAAATTACAGAAATTTTGTTCCATGTTAATTTTTACTTGCAATGTATGAAAAGTGTCTCAATAAATAATTTTGCTAGGCGGCGCTGTCGCGTTGGTATTCATCGCCTGCTCTAACGTGTCGAGGCGACGGTACGCATGGCCGCGACTGTTTCGACGACGTCCCGGCTGCCGTCCTTCGACTATTAACCCAAGGATCTGTAACGTAACATATTGTAACATTATACGTAGGTACTTTGTTATTCTAAATCCCTTGTTCAGATTATTAATTGAATAAATATATTATATTTATAATGATGTATACGGCCTGGAAAAAAATAGGGCAATGAAATATTTTATTTATTTAATATGACTTAGATACACTGACAGCAACTGTAAGACTGATTATTGCATGCAATTTATGCAAAAGAAATTAACAGGTTATGTGTAGTTACTAGTTACGTTAAATAAATTATAAGGAGTTTTCTAAATGTTTCCACTACAGATTCCCTTATTTGCTCATTACATTTGTAAGACCATTGCTAAATCACAATTTATGGAAAGAACTGATTGAGTATTTAGTCGGTTTTTTCAGTATTGTTATCCTATTATGTTATATTATATTTGTTTTCGGCCAGCTGGCCGTCTGCGGATGCTCAAGGTCGCTCAGAAAGCTATGGAGAGGGCTATGCTCGGAGTTTCACTGCATGATAAAATCAGAAATGAGTAAATCCACTGTAGAACCAGAGTGACCGACATAGTCCACTGGATTAGTAAGCTAAAGTAGCAATGGGCCGGCCATATAGCTCGAAGAACCGATAACCGATGGGGAAGAAAAGTTCTCGAGTGGTTACCACGTACCGGTAGGCGTTGTGTAGGGCGACCCCCCACTAAATGGAGTGACGACCTGGTAATACACGCAGGAAGTCGATGGATGCAGGTGGCTCAGGACCGTGCTTTGTGGCATTACTTGGGGGAGGCCTATGTTCATCAGTGGACCAATTAAGGCTAATACACACTAATAATTAATCACACTTAACACTTTAGTTCACTTTACTTCGCTCCTAAGTCTTCACTTGTATTGCCAATTCAATACTGCCGGCCCAACGGCTTTATATAGACCTTTTCCACGAAACATTTAGAATGTTCCAGCAAATACCGGTCCCGACCGACTAGGTGTAGAAAATTCGAGTGTGGAGTTTTCTAGAAAGCTTAGTTCTTCTATTTGATAATAGATGGCGCTAGTGCCATGTACCAGGCATCAACTGTGGCGCGCAACACTGCCCCCTCCTAAGACATGCTCGTCCCGAGCATTATCGGCCCCATAATAACCTACCTCTTGCACCTTCCTGAAACGGCTCCGCAACGTCAAGGGCTATCCTCTCCAATGATGCACCAACATTGTACGATTTCAATGCACCTCCACTACGAGTCTGTCCCTTCACAGCCGCACAACTTGCACATTTGCGACACCAATCCTCGACATCATCACGATAATGGACCCAGTGAAACCATTCTCGGATCTTCAGTAGAGTTCGTTTAACTCCCAGATGGACTCCTGAATAACCATTATGGTACAGCTGTAGAACATCCGGCACTTTAGCTTTAGGGACAACCATTTGAAAATGACAGCTGTATCTCCGACTATTTTCCCATTTACGGCACAGAACTCCATCCTAAAGCAGCAAGTCCTGTCCCATTGGGCCCAATAGCATTTTCGTGATCGAACTCATCGCTGAGATGTCGCTCCACTTGGGCTTGGTAGCACGGGCCTTCATCCATCCTAGAATCGGCTTTATGTCCGGATCTTCCTGCTGTGCATGTCGAAGGCTGTCCTTCCACCCGTTGCTGAGGTGGTCTGTCCTGAGCATCCTCACGAATACCACTTCCTTACACTCTTGCCTAGTACAATGCTTGCAATCTTCAGGACAAGGTCTTCTTGACAATGCATCTGCGTTGCCATGAGATTTCCCGCTGCGATGTTCGATCACAAAGTCGTATTCTTTCCGCTGCTTGGCGGCACTGTTAGCCGCACTACCCCCTCGAGATCGATCACCTTCTCTTTCTACAGTTCGCTTAGGGCAGCTGGATCGAAGATGGCCCCTTTCCCCACAGCCGTAGCACCTTGGGCGGTAACTTTTATTGCGGTCGCGAACTGTAGCTGCTGCAACCTCCTTAACGTGGGGGGAACGATGATCTTACCGTTGCTGCCGTTAGCCGCACTACGCCCTCGAGATCGATCACCTTCCCTTTCTACAGTTCGCTTAGGGTAGTTGGATCGAAGATAGCCTTTCCCCACAGCCATAGCACCTAGAGCTGTATCCTTTATTGCGGTCACGAACTATAGTTGCTACAAACTCCCTGGTGCGATGGGAACTACGATCCTGCCGCACGGCTTCCACCTCCAGTGTACGGACCAAGGCATCTTTAAGCGTCTCGTGGTGCCCGAGCCTCACAGCAGCTCTGACTTCAATGTCGCGGATTCCATCGATGAATGTCTGCACCAGGTTCCCCTCAATGAGCGCAGGTAAAGACTGGTATGCTTTTCGAATCATCTTCTCCACCTCAAGGGCACTTTGCTGCAGGTTTTCATTGCTGCGTTGCACGTGATCTTTAAGCTGCGCACGAAAGACGTATTCCAGGTTGGGCGTCGCCATATCTCGCCTCCAATGCCTCAAGGAGCTGCTTGTAAGTCACTTTCTTACAGAGAGCTTCCAAAACAGTTAAGGCTTGGTCGCATAGACCTAGAGTGAGTGCAGTCATGGCCTGACTTTTTTTCCAGCCGTTCGCCTCCATGACAGCCTTGAACTGGATTTTGTAGGCCGACCAGGATGGAGTCCCGTCGAACGGCGGCACTTTGAATCCACCCACGTAGCGAAGGTGTTGTAGCTACTAGGGTAGCTGTAATTTCATCCCCAAGTTTGAAGTCGTCCAGCATTTTCCTCACGTCGGCCATCACGTAGTCAACCCGATTGTTCACTTGGTCGATTCGGGTTTCAGATTCCTCGATTCGGGTTTCAGCTTCCGACAGTCATGTTGAGCAACCCTATCCTTCACCTCCCTTATATCTTTCCCAAAGGTAGTGAGAAGGTCCTTCATGAGGAGCATCTGCTCTTCCAACCGACGAGCCTGTTCCTCTTGTTTGCCCCGCAGCTGATCCTCTAACCGACGGACCTATTCCTCCTGTCGGCTTGCCTATTCCTCCTGTCGGTGGGTCTGTTCCTCCTGTCGGCGGGCCAGTTCCTCCCGTCGGCAGGCCTGTTCCTCCTGTCGGCGGGCCTGTTCCTCCTGTCGGCGCGCCTGTTCCTCCAGTCGGCGGGCCTGTTCCTCCTGTCGGCGGGCCTGTTCCTCCTGTCGGCTGGCCTGCTCCCTGCAGCATCACCATCAGAACACCTTAGTCAGGTGCTACAAACGTAGGAACTGCTAACGGGGTGGCCTCCGTGGCCAGCGGCTGGCCCTCCGAAGTCTGCGACGTTACGCCACCAAATCGTCTCTGGTCCGTCTCCAGCTGTCGTTGACTTCGGGTACGGACACCCTCCGTGTTGTCCTTCGGTAAAATCGGCATGATTTTATCCTCATATCCTTCCTTTTAACTTCTGACACCAATTGTTACGAGCTAGGGTTCGTGACAATAAAACTGCCGATTGAATTACCAAAATTGACACTTTAATTACCGAACTCCAATTAAAGCTAACACACACTAATAATTAATCATACTTAACACTTTAGTTCACTTTACTTCTCTCCGAAGTCTTCACTTGTATCGCCAATTCAATACTGCCCCGGTCGCGGCCCTAAACGGCTTTATATAGTCCTTTTCCACCGAAACATTTAGAATGTTCCAGCAAATACCGGTCCAGACCGACTAACGGTGTAGAAAATTCGAGTGTGTAGTATTCTAGAAAGCTTAGTTCTATTTGATAATAGATGGCGCTAGTGCCATGTACCAGGCATCAACTGTGGCGCGCAATAGTATGTATTTTAAATATTAAATCTGTTTAGTTTTCTTTTTTTTATTTAAATAAACCTCACCCTAGATTTTCTCTTGAAACAATCCCACCACCAAAGTGTGAATATTCAGAAAGTGTTTCTTTTAATTTCATATCACAGCTGTCGCATTGTTACATCGTACTTGAAAGAGGTAGCGGATAGTACCTTCTATTATGTGAAGAAACACATTGAACTGTTATTTAATCATTTTTATTGACTTAAATGATGGATCACTTTAAAATAAAAAATCATGTAGGGGTTTTAAAAATATAAACAAATTCCAGCTTTTCAAGCTTTTGGCCTTAGGTATGGTATCCACTTCAAAGAAATAATAACAAGAAGTAATAATAGTTTAATCTTGAAAATTGAGGCACATCTTATCCTCCGGTACACCACTTGATTTTAAAACAAAAGTGCACAGCCGGTGCGTGTTCCCAGTGGTGACTTATGGAACTACCATATAATCTTTCAGCAGTGAAAGCCGTATAAAATAGTTCAAATTCGAGCAGCAAGTTATGGTGACTCAAGGTAACCCATATACCATAGAATTTTAAAACAAATGTATACAACTCAAAGTGTTGCCAAGTGTATTTATGGAAAGACCACATAGTCCTCCACAGCTAATTGAATGAGAGCTATGCTCAGAGTAACTCATAAGTGTGATAAAAATGAAATGCATAATAGATATCCTGAGTAAATATAAATAAAGATGTGCAACCCACCCAATGCATCAGTCAAAAAAGTAGCAATAAGTTAGCCAAATAACTTAAAATCCGACAACCAGTAAGGAAGAAAGTTTCTCGATTTGGCCTTTATATTTTATTGGCAATTATACTAGACTGAATGGCAAACATAATATAAGGAGTTAACGGTTGCGGGTGACTAAAAGATGTTTTGTTGGAGAGCTATAAGTATTTAACAGTGGACTTGTGATGGGCTATATTGATAACAATGATGATAATGAGTAAAAATATATAAAATCTTACTTACCACTTTAGTAAATTTGCTTTTGTTATGGTACAAAATATAAAGTAGAACAACAATAATCACTGCTGTCAAAAAGAATGAAAAGAAGTGATCATCTTCTTCTACAAATTCATCTTGAGGCATTTTTGAGATAAAATCTGAAAACAGCAAACACAATATCTGTTTTAGAGCCATGATGCAACTATATTAGTAGTAAAGTTATAGCACAAATGGGTCAACTTAACCAGGGAAGGACCACACTCTCACAGAATACCAGTGTAAAATAGCAGCTTAACACTGCTGCTTTATATGGTAAGCGTAGAGAGCCGGAGACCCTTTTTACTGGAAAAGAGGAATTCATTCTTAAGTCTTCATGGGTGACAATGCATCTGCATTTTGATGCATAATCGACGATACATGTAGGTGTCTATGGGCCACAGCAACCACTTAGCATCAGTTGGACTATGCCATCTTTATCATATAAAAAAAGCAATTCAAAACTTTTTCACCAGAATATATGTATAATTTATATTTTGTTTCAGTACTTGGCTGTTGTTTTATATTTCGATTCCCTTAAAAATCCCATTCAGTCGCATTCCCTTCAATCCCCATAAAAATCCCATGCAATCGCATGCATCCGTCAAATCCCGAGCGGTCTCATTCGACTGCACCCACCCACAGCACTTTAAACCATTAAAACTTATATTTAGAGACTACTTTTCTATGAAGGAGTTTGGCATTATAGAATCAATATGAAATTTTCTATTGTACCCGGAGTACCCTATTCATGGCAAAATATAATAAATAGTAGGAATTATAATTTTAAAATAACATTTATAACTACTGACCAGCTCTGGCTTCTAAAGACTAAAGAGCAAAGCTTGGTCATCCGGGTACTATTTATAGAAACAGCAAGGCAAGAATAAAAACAGACAAATTGGGGGAATCATTTCCATTGCAAAAAGGTGTAAAACAGTGACCCGATTTCACCAATTCTCTTCAATGCAGTTCTGAAGAAAATTTTTAGAAGTATGTCTTGGTCAAATAAAGGCTTTAAGAATACATGGAAGATACCATGGAGTCTTACTAAAGCCACAGAATAAATAATAGTACTACATACAGAAGTTGCAGTCCTTTGATGCTGACTGCAACTTCTGAATGTATAAACTATATATTAGTGCATCTTATTGTAAATAAACAACGAAAATTGCAATTCACAATTTATCTAGCCAACAATTGGTTCCCACACAACAGAAAGAGGTTGCCCAATAAGCAAGCTCCATTAACTATTGGCACTACAGTATACGGACCCTTGGTCACAATATTAATATTAAGTAATTTTTCTGGTAACCCAGTATTACGAATGTAAAAATATTGTTACTACACCTGTACAAGTCCTGGTTTCCAAAGTAAAAATTATGAAATTTGATTTTCTTAGTACCATCTAACAATCTTTTCCAAATATGTTCAACATTTTTTTAAATAAAATATTTACAAACTACATTACATAGGTAAAAATCACTATCCGATCCAAAAATATACTTTTAGCAATCGTGATAATATGATTCTGTTAATGTTATCCTCGTTAAAATAACCTAAAATTAAATTAAAATGGAAACTTACTTAGTAATAAAATGCGGCACTAGCGGCCGTCGGACAACAATAATGTAACATTGTAACATGTTCAAAGATCGTACAAATAGTCTTTAAAATATTATTGTACCCTTCCGTATCGTATCGAGATATTGCATATTGTAATTTACAATAATAGTTAAAGTTCAAAAATCAAGTAAAAAAAAAAACAATCCCGCCAATACCGACCCTCAATAAATACTCAAAATATTTCCATATTGCCTGTTATAAATAGTAAGTACTACTTCAATTATTATAAGAAGATTATGCAAAAATATAGACACCAAGCTTTTCAAGATTACCAAGTACAGATCTTAAATCCTAATATATAGATAATATATCTAAATATAATTTCAAAACTTGTGTGTTAATGAAAATAAATAGGAATAAGTTTACTAAATTAAAAAAAATATATACAAGAAATTTAATAACTAATAGGGGCAAAACCCAAGTTCTAACAATATCTGTAATTGGTACAATTAAGAACTTTAAAGAGGGACATTTAACATATTACAGTACAAATATTTTTTTTATTCTAACACTGATGACAATAACCTTAAAATTAGCTCATGGTAATAAAAATTACACTTCAAAACAAACATTTTTTAAACTCTTGTGTTATAAAATAAATATACTTATTTTGGTATGTGTATAGAATAACAGAATTTATTAACTATAATAAAAAATTAGATCGTACAGAAAATCTCTCACTTCAATGTATGTTATTCTACACCTTAAGATAATAACAAGTTATTTAAATATATCGCATGCACATAATAATAGACATTTATTTATAGACTATTCGGCTAGTTGATATTGTATGAATGCTTTTAACTGTTATTTCTGAAATACATACTACATTATATTTGAGATTACCTGTCAAACGCATTTTTGTGCGTGTTTACGTTAAATCTAATATGCAATAAAAAACACTCATTTATATATTTTAATAAATATAATATACTGTCCTATCCTAATTTCACTATCTTTAATTATCTCACTTTAGATTGTTTGTTTTAAGACAGAATTTTTAAAGAAGAGTACAGATGAGAAATTATATCCGCCATTTCTTAGACTAATAATTAACACAGAGAAGTACAAGATAGATAGTGGTATATTGTTGAATACATATAAAATAAATACCAGCCAATTGCGACTTTGTTTAAATATTTAATATAAGGTTAATAAATCTCACTAAAAGTATTGATATAGTATAGTATGTTTAACCTCACAATTAGTTTACAAAAAAGTTAAGGATGTTTTTCAGACATTTTTTGTTGAAAAATTGATTAAAGCATACAAAAATTTACGGAAGCAATGTTACCAAGCTTGTTACAAAGTAAGTTAACATTTTGCAATATTTTATTTTAAATAATCAGTCATATGATAATTAAAATTATGATAAGGTAATCCATTATTCTCTAAAGTAATATAATAATAAATAAAATTTTTAAATAAGCTATGTTATAATATTATTTTTAAAGTAATGGAATAATAAACACAACTTTTGAATAAGCTATGTTATAATATTATTTTTAAAGTAATAGAATAATAAACACAAATTTTCAATAAAAAAATGTTGTAATATTATTTTTAAAGTAGTAGTTTGAGTATAGTGTGATTAATATTGAAAAAATTTTTGAAATGAAAGCTGCAATCCAACATAGATCAACACGGGCCACCGGCGGACCGGAGGGAAATAGTCATATGCAGTCAAAGTATAGGTCCACGCGGTCGTATGCGTAAAATGTAGGTGTAGCTCTAAAAAAAAACTATAAGGGAGCCGACCACTCGTCTGAGCTGCGCGGGTACCTTACTCATAGACGTAACCCCTAACGCACCTCGGCAACGCTCTCTCTATAGAATAGGGAACGTTGCGGCGGCGTCGAACAGTTCACGTATTGCATTTTTATACTCGTGATAACTTCGAAATTAAATGTACATATCTAATGAATTAAAAAGTATTTTACTGTTACATAAATACCCTTGATGATAAAACTATTTATTTGAATAAAAATTAATACTACGATTCGATTGTACCTACTTTTGTTTCTACCGACGATCGAATTAAATTTTATAACACAAAAGCTCCTATTGTGACTTAACTATCATAGTTAGATATATTCCCTCGCGGACTTTTTTGTAAGTATCAATGAGTACTTTAATCGTGTAATGTGGTACATCATTTTTATGTATCATCTGAAAGCACGCAAAATTTTGCTACTTTCGCTTACATTATTGTAATTTTCTTAAACATCTCTAATGTTTTTGTAAATAAATTATAGCTTATGTTACGTCCTGATAATTTAGCTTTCTATTGGGAAAAAAATGGTCAACATGAGTCTACTAGTTTCGTATATAATATTATAGTATTAATTATGTACAATACGAGTAGTATTAATTGTGTCAGTCAGTACAGATAAAGAATGGGATTAGAAATGGCTACTCATCCAACCTGTACTGTCAACATGCACAGTACCAATAACGAAAACCAGCTAATAACGGTATATCGTTATAACATTATATTATTCGGTTAGTTGGAAATTTTCTAATCATGGCAAAATATAATAAATAGAGTAGGAATATTAATTTTAAAATAACATTTATAGCTACCGACCATCTGTGGCTTCTAAAGACTAAAGATAATCATTAGACATTTAAACTTATCAATATTTCTATTTTAATAAAATCTTTAGATTTTTCGGATAAAAAGAAAATTTAGTCTAAATCACTCCAGTTATTATTTTATACAAAAATATTAACATACAAAATCAATAATAATTATAAAGAAAAGTCTCAGAACGCGTCATAGCAAACAATTAGCAATACCGGACTGAATTGTTTCGTAGTTTATGAGAATTTGTTATAACTGATTCCAGTGACAAGTTGGATGGAAGTTATAGAACGTACCGAAAAACGTATATCGCAACGAATTTTTTTGCCGACAGTGTGTGAGCGAGAGGTAATTAGAGGCGACGCTATTTTCAATGCCATTCTTTACTGCACGGGTACTACATATTTTATGAGGTTAAACAGTAATTGTTGAGAGATAAATAGTCTACTTGTGAGTTTCTTGCCTCTTCTGACAAGGTTTCTCCGCAGTAGGGATGTGTTGAAGCTATAGTGTTTTTGAGTTTGATTTTCAAAGTACTTTTTGAAACTTATGCCAATCTTGAAAAAAATATTTGTCTTTGACTTTGAATAAACCTAACAAAAGAATTGTTCAAATTGTTGATTTGAATGTTATTGGTACAAAATGATTGCTCTATATTAAGATATATAAAATTATGACTTCATCACATTGTGATGAAGTCATAATTTTATATATCTTACTTAATATATTATTGAAGCAATCATTTTGTACCATATTTAATACATTATTTGTCTTTAATTAGTTAAATTGCCGTTTAGTGGCGGTTGAAAATATCCACTACCCCATATCTTCCCGTGGGTGTCGTAAGAGGCGACAGAAGGAGACAGGCAGGAGATGGGCAGCAGCATCTTCTTGATAACAACAGTGATATAATAAAAAACTGCGGTTGCCAACCCGCTCGCCAAGCGTGGCAACTATGGCAAATAACCCCCAAGAATAACGACGCAAACAAACGGCCCCCAGTCCCCGGCGGCCCCGCTATTCCTGGCTACGATGGCGACCATCGTAACGGCGGGGCAGGGGGTGCTAAGAATCTCCGCGTGGAGGTTCGGTTGCCACCTACGACGACTCGACCTGGCAACATATAACGCACGCACCCTGAGGACTGACGAGAAGATACTGGAGCTGGAAGAAGAAGTAAAGTTGCGCTGGCATATTATTGGATTATCCGAGGTCCGAAGAGAGGGGGAGGACACGGTAATCCTAGAGTCCGGCAACTTATTCTACATATCACCGGGAGGGCAACCATCTGTCCCAAGGAGGTGTCGGATATATCGTCCACAAGTCTCTCGTCAACGGCGTTGTAAAGATTGGGAGTGTGTCGACGAGGGTCGCGTACCTGATACTCAGAATCACCAAACGGTATTCGCTGAAGGTCATACAGGTTTACGCACCAACCTCGGCACATCCCGATGAGGAGGTGGACGAAATGTATGAGGATATTTCCAGAGCCATGCATTCCTCCAAAACCCACTACATGGTGTTGATTGGACACTTCAACGCAAAACTATGCACAAGAGAAAACGATGAGCTGAAGTTAGGGAAATTTGGAGTATGACAACGGAACCGAAGGGACCAGCAGCTGGCCGACTTTATGGAGTTAGAGGGACTCTTTATCATGAACTCTTTCTTCCAGAATCGGCCCCACAGGAAGTGGACCTGGTCGAGCCCCGACGGTTCGACAAAAAATGAGGTTGACTTCATTATGACGACCAGACGCCAACTGTTCAGTGATCGCAAGGGTGAAAACTGGCAGCGATCATCGAATGGTTGCAGGCACACTCAACCTAAACGTTAAGTTCTCTAGGTCTCGTCTAATGAAGTCAACGCTCCGTCCCCCTCGTGCTCTAATCCAGAATCCCGAAACCTTTCAGCTCGAGTTACGTAACCGCTTTCAGTGCCTAGAAGATTGCAATGCAGTGGACGATATGAATGACAAGCTCGTGGAAACTGTCCATACAGTCGGAGCTAAGATTTGCAAGACCCGCCGCAGAAGAACACAAAAACTCTCGGATCACACTCTTAATCTTATGGCTTTTAGACGGGAGATGAGGCTGCAATCGTCAACTGATTTGACAGCAACTGAACAGACAGATCTCCAAATGCATGCGGCGAGACTTACGCAACTTTAATACTGCTCGTATTAAAGAAGCGATCGAGCGGAACCACGGCTCCAAAGTCTTTGCCAGAGATCTGTCAAAGCTGAAGACTGAATGTGGCAGCATCGTTTCCGGGACACCTGCGATTTTGAGTGAGATTGAGAGGTTCTATGGGCAGCTGTACACGTCATCGTTGGAGCACAGTTGGAGCAAGTCTTATCAGACACTACTCCAATGATATCCCGGACGTCAGTCAGAGCGAGATTAGAATGGCTCTCCAGCAACTTAAAAACGGCAGGGCGCCAGGCGAGGATGGAATTACAGCGGAGCTTCTGAAAGCGGGTGGAACACCGGTACTTGAAGTCCTTCAGAAGCTTTTCAATTCCGTCCTCCATGGTGGCACTACTCCGGAGGCGTGGAGCAGAAGTGCGGTGGTCTTGTTCTTTAAGAAATGCGACAACGCTCTCTTGAAGAACTACAGACCGATTTCCCTTCTGAGCCGCGTCTACGTGCTGTTTTCGAGAGTCATTACGAATCGTCTCGCACGCAGACTCGACTTCCAGCCTCCCGAACAAGCCGATTTCCGAAAAGGCTTCAGTACCATAGACCACATACATATCCTGTGGCAAATTATACAGAAGACCGAAGAGTACAATCTGCCATTTTGTCTGGCGTATGTGGACTATGAGAAAGCCTTTGATTCCGTCGAAATTTGGGCGGTGCTACAAGTCCCTTCAGCGGTGCAAAGTTGACTGTCGGTATATCGAAGTGCTGAAGTGTTTGTACAGTAGGGCTACGATGGCTATCCAAGTACAGAACCAGAGTTCGAAACCTATCCAACTGCAGAGAGGTGTAAGATAGGGTGACGTAATATCCCCGAAACTCTTCACTGCTGCGTTGGAAGACGTTTTCAAGCTACTGGACTGGAAAGGATACGGTATTAACATCAATGGCGAGTACATCACTCACCTTCGATTTGCCGACGATATAGTCCATACGGCTCGCTGGAGGATCTTAGCACTATGCTCAATGACCTCAATGGTGTCTCCCAACGGATAGGTCTTAAGATGAACATGGACAAAACAAAGATCATGTTTAATGTCCATGTCACACCTATGCCAGTAGTTGTTGGGAGCACTATGCTCGAAGTTGTTGACGAGTACGTTTACCTGAGACAAATAGTCAGACTAGGTAAGTCCAACTTCGACCGAGAGGTAAACCGACGGATTCAACTCGGCTGGGCAGCGTTAGAGAAATTACGACACATCTTCTCGTCAGGTATACCTCAACCTCTGAAGACTAAAGTGTACAACCAGTGCGTGTTGCCAGTGATGACTTACGGATCTGAGACATGGTCCTTCACTGCTGGCCGTATGAGGATGCTCAAGGTCGCTCAGCGAGCTATGGAGAGAGCTATGCTCGGAGTTTCTCTGCGTGATAGACTCAGAAATGAGGATATCCGTAGTAAAACCAGAGTGACCGACATAGCCCAACGGATTAGTAAGCTGAAGTGGCAATGGGCCGGCCATATAGCTCGAAGAACAGATAACCGATGAGGAAGAAAGGTTCTCGAGTGGCAGCCTCGTACCGGTAGGCGTAGTGTAGGGCGACCCCGCACTAGATGGAGTGACGACCTGGTGAGAGATGCAGGAAGTCGATGGATGCAGGTGGCTCAGGACTGTGCTTTGTGGCATTACTTGGGGGAGGGCTATGTTCAGCAGTGGACTTGTGAAGGGCTGTAATGATGATGGTAACAAAGATCACAAAGCATCTATATTTTGATACTTAATTGAAGATACGTGTAAATGTCTATGGGCCACAGCACCCACCACCAGGTGAAATGTGAGCTAGTTTGTCACTGCCATTCTAAATATGGTATAGATTATGGTGGAGCAATATCGTTGACTTAGGTAGAAATTAAAAACATATAGTGGATATTTTTTATTATAACTACAAATGAGAGAGCAACATTGCATCTATATTATGGCTGTAGCACAAATGTCGGCTCAAACGAAGAAAGGCCACAATCTTACAAAATACCATATAATAGCAGCTTACATCTGCTGCGTTTCGTATGCTGAGTGTAAAGAACCAGGGGTGACAATTGCATTTACATTTTGAATCTTATTCTATGACAGATTCAGTCTATGGGCTACAGTATCAACTTAACATGATTTTAGTTTATCGTAGAGTTTATTGTTTGGACTGTGTACTCATTTGTCACCCGTTTGTCATATCACAGCCCGTAGTTTACATAATAAAAATATATTTAATCCAATACACAGCTTATGTTTGACAAAAACAGCACATGTACCACCATCAATACCAAAACATCAACAGACACAATAACGTCCAAAAAATGGACGCCGGTTCCCCCGCCGGTTCACTGACAATTTGGACTGCGTCCATTTGGCGTGGCGCACGTTTTTGACATTGACGTACAGCCGTGGATGACGTCCATTTGGACTGGACGCATGGATTTCAATCCATTTGGAAATCCAGAGCTGGATGAAATCCGTCCAAATGGAATATGTTTTTACCATTCACGGTACAATTTTTGACGATTACCACTCAATTTGGATTAATGGACGTATTGTCAGTTATGTATGAATGAAGCTTTTTACTACTGCTATATGATACCAAATATATATACCAAAAACTTATTTTAAAACTTTCCATACATCACTGAATTTCCCTTAAAAGACTGGATAAATATAAAAAGATATATCTTACCTTGGGATTGAATATTGTTGATTTTAATAGTATCTTTTGTTCTATCTTCTTCCATTTTTTGAATTACTGGTTTCCCAAAATTAATTTCCGAATCATCTTGCAGATCCTGCTTATCTTCTTCCTCTGAATCTGAAAATGGTATAACAATATAGATAAAAAAGGTTTTATATTTTATAATAAAATTTATAAATGACTTATATGGAATAAACATCTTAAAATATTACAAATTTGTCTATACCCGGACAATTATAACCCGGATTTACTTGCATAAACAATTTTTTAGCTCAAAATTGTTTATGCAAGTATGTAAGTAATAAGTAAAGTAACAGCTTATATATGTCCCACTGCTGGGCACAGGCCTCCCCTCATTTCTGAGAGGGTTTTAGGGCAAGGAAGTGTCCACCTTGCAACCCCAATGCCTGTTGGCGAACTACACATGTCTTCAAAATATTTTTTTTCTTATTCCTCAGACATGCAGGTTTCCTCACGATGTTTTCCTTCACCGACGAGCATGTGGTATATCAGCACTTAAAATTGCAATTAACAATTTCATTGGTGCCGGCGGGTATAGAACCCGGGTTACTCACGTTCCATTATATTTACAGCGAGCGTTAACCATCTGAGCTACCACGGCTCGTAAGTAATAGCAACTTCAAATATTGTTATTTGGCTTGTAGATGAAATTAGGTCCACCTTTAGGTCTTTATATATCATAAGCTAGTAAATAATTTCTACTGAAATAAAGGTAATAAGCATCAATCTACATGTTGTTTTCTAGCAACACTGCAATTTTTAAATATTTATACTGGAAGTCAGTAGATTTATTCCATGGTCATCAATTATTCATCACGCTTAAAATAAGTAGTACATAAAAGATTCAGGTATTTATTATAAATTAATAAATCAATTTGAAACTTTATTAAAATTATATAAGAGGGAACATGGTGATGTTATTCAAACTATTTTGGTAATTTTAACAGTTATTTTTGTATGCAAGTTTCAAATCTAACACATATTTATAGAAGCAATAGTGACAAACAAGAACATGTTCCACATCTGAAGAATAAGACAGAGTGCATTGTCACATTTTGTACATGGTAGTGCCATGGTGCAGCTATATTATGGTTGTAGCACAAATGGGTCAGCTCAACAGAGGAAGGACCATGCTCTCACAAAATACCAGTGTAAAATAGTAGTTAAATACTGCTGTGTTTCGTATGGTGAGTGTAGAGATCCGGAGACCCTTTTCTACTGGAAACGAGGCATTCCATCTTAGTCCTCAGGGGTGACAATGCATCTGCGTTTTGATTCTTCATTGAGGATAAATGTAGACGTCTACGGGCCACAGTATTCACTTTACCATCAGGTGGACTGTGTGCTCGTTTGTCACCTTTATTCTATAAAAAAAAACAAGTCTCTTTGATACCCCAATAGAACTGACCCATGTGGCCAGGCAGCAGTGCATTATGGCTGCATGCTGCATGCATATGTAGCTGTCTGCTGAGACACAAAATTAATTTAGAAACAAGTAGAAGCCACTCAGTTAAAATAGGAGGTCCCCTCTCCCCAGAGAGGGATTGCTTTTAATTTTTATAGTAAAAATAAACATATTCTGAAGTATCCCTTCAGTCATTACAGCCTATCAAAAGTCCACTGCCGAACAGCAACTGCAGTTATTTATTATTTTGAATTGTTATCAGGAAGATGTTGCTGTCAATCTCCTGTTCACTTTCCCTCTGTCCCATCTTACTAAACCCATGGGATGATATGGGGTAGTGAATATTCTTACACATCTATTATATAGTGAAGTATTAATAAATATTGTTAAATATCAACAAAGCGCAAAGAGAACAAGAAAAGGACCCATGGTAACTCAAATGACTAGCCCTCGCTGTAAAGTTTGGTCAAATCATACCAGACAACTAAACAATGATGTCTGAATATGCCATATTTATGTAAAATATAGCCTTATTTTTTAAGGTCTTTAAAGCAAGAAATACCTCTCTAATTAGCCACAAAAAAGTTATTCATTCACTTTTGTTTTTGTAACTGTTTCGAAATTAATTCAAATAATTGTTTCAGAATGCACCTAATGAAGATTCATTTTGTGTATGTGATTAGCTTGCAGCTACAAAACATATATGCCGGAATCCCTGCCTGAGGGTGAGCATCAGCTAACCACAAAGCTAACAGGAGTTGTTGTGTGACCATATGTTGATGGGTGATGGAAGAAGATTAACAGGTTCTTCAAACGAGAATTTAAAATATTCCAGCAAGATTTTTTTTAATGAAACTGTTCCACATATGATGCAAATGTTTTCTATAGCTGCAAGCCTTTTAAATAAATTTGGTGTTCGGTTAAAAACAGGAATGATGCTGAGCAAATCATAAATGTGATTAGGGAATGATTTCCATCAAATAATAATTTATCTGATTTTATAAACAGTATAAATATTAATAGACAAACATCTGATTTTTCTAGTATTACAACATTCAATACTAATATTATATTCGCCCATCTATATAGTGAAGTTATTATTATTAGTATTAATTGGTCTAGGAATATATCAGATTCTACAGGCAAGGTCCTATTATAGTGAACATGTCTGGTTTCACGGAGGGTATCGAATCGAAATAAGCAGAGAAAACATTAATGTCACAGAGTAGCGTTCGAATGGATGTGGAAATAATTCGAGAAAAGTATATTATGTTTATATATTAATTTTAAATAATTAATGTGTCTGGAAGAGAAGCTATAAAATAGAGTATTGCTGTAATTGTTTAGTTGGTAGAAGAACAGTTGGGTGCTGTGCACATGTTATGACGCTTTTGTGGTACCTTGGGTTTGCCAGGCATCAGCCGACAGTATCAGCGCCAGCAGAATTCCTTGATGCTGTATTTGTAAGAGAGAATGATGAATAAAAAGTAATTTTGTCTAGCCTACTTATTCCTTTTAATACTCCTGAATTCTACCATTACGCTTCATTTACTTCTGTAACCTACCATTACTAGTTTTTTTTTTTCTATACATATTCAACTTGAGTATTGAAGACTGAAAGATAGTATGTACCTAGTGACCAACTCTCTTCAGCTAGAATTGAAGTGGTCAAAACACAAAAAAGCCTTGATGATAATTACGCCTTCCTGGTTTTTTACACTACATACTGTACAAGCTGGAGCAATATATAGGTGTAGTTTTTATTGAATTTTCGGTCATAATCTGTCGTTGAAACAGTCAACTTCAAGAGAAAGTTTGAAATACGGCCCTTTTGGACATCGAACTCTAGGAGTATGATGGACAGTCATAGAGTCCGCTTTGAAAGATGTCCTATTAGTGAGTAATAAGGTAATTTTATACTTTCGCGGTCCCCTCGTTTTTTGGCTCTAGAAAATCGATAAATCATCAGATTTCGATGATTTTTGTTAAATCTTCGTTTTTATGGCAGATTTATGAAAAAAAAATAAGGAAAATATCTCACCTGAAGATTTCATATAGTTAAGTCATAAACTTTAAATGTGATCATAAGCGCACATCTTCGAACACGTACATAGCTTTTTAGCAAAGCATCAAATGAAGTTAATATATTTTTTTTGTTAATCTACACAAAAAAACGAACATTTAAAAAAACATTGAAAAATGTTTGTTTATTAATTTTTTACCTCACCTAAAGTTTTTATATGGTTTTCTAACTTTAAATTTTATCATAAACACTCTCGAAAATCGAAATAATTACGAAAGTTAGTATTTTGGCGTTTTATTGTGTGTAAAATTAAACGAAGCGAACTCGGGACTTATGGCATCCCGACTCAGACAGGTTAGGTTAGCTTTTAACTTAGGTTAGCTTCTAAAGAGTCCATTTACATTAGATGTCCTAAGTCCCGAGCTTGCTTCGTTCGATCTTACACTCAATAAAACACCAAAATAAAAAAATTATAAATAAATATATTTTGAATATTTTTTTAAATATTCGTTTTTTCATGTAGATTATGAAGAAAACAACTTCCTTCGATTATTTGTAAAAAAAGTTATTAACAATTATATGTGAATGAGTGCATTTTCATGAACACTTAAAGCCCTGAAACCAATATAAGTTCTAATTTTTTTCATACATCCGCCGTAAAACGAATATTTAAAAAAAACATTGAAATCGGATGAATTTTCTATTTTCTAGAGCCAAAAAATGAGTGGATCCCGATAGTATAAAATTACCGGTAATAAAATTATTTTAGAGAAATCGAAATAAATGGAAATGAGATCGCTAATTACCCTCCTCACTTATTGCTACCTACATTTTTAGGCTACATCACAGCCAGGTAAAAGGTAGTTGTTGATTCCAACCTTAAAAGTATTGTTGAAGTTATTATAAAAAATCGTGGCTATTTAGGTATTATTTTTAAATGTGATGGAGTTTACAACAAAAAAAAAACAATCTAATTATAGTTTGTTTTTGGAAAAAAAGTCAAGTGCAGCTCTTAAGAAATTTGGCCAACATTCTTTCACAGTAAACGAGCAACCCAAGTTCAATCCTTGCCGGCAACAACAAGAGTGTTAATTGCAAATTTAAGTGCTGATTTACCATGTGCATGGCGGTGAAGGAAAACATTGAGAGGTAACCTGCATGTCTGAGAAATAAGTAAAGAAAACTATTTTAAAGACATGTGAAGTTTGCCGTCGAATTCGTTACATATTGGCGCAGCATGATTTCATTTGTGACTTCATTGCCCTTAAAAACCCTCTCAAAAATGAGAGGAGTCCTGTGCCCAACAGTGGGACATATATAGGCTGCAACTTTAAGCACACAAAAAGTAATGTACCTTGTTCATCTTCTATATCATCAATTACTGGATCTTTCACTTCTTTTAACTGATTATTTGACAGCTGGTCCTCTTTTTCTACATCCTCTTTTTTAGGAGGTTGTTCTTCTTCATCTAGTATTGGGTTTTCATTTACAGCTACAACTGAAGTATCAGGTTTCTTAACAACTGCTGATTGTTGTAATTTAAGCGTTTCTTCTACACTAGGCTCACTCAATTTATTTGTTTCTAGATTTTCTTCCATACCAGAGGCTTGACTAATTGATGCTCTTTGAATAGATTTATCAAGTTTAGCTACATCTACATCATTTGCTGCTTTAATATTTGTTATTGTTGTTTTAACAACAGAAGTACCTTGATCCTTAGCTTCAGAATTTGAGTTTCCCTTGACACTCTTAGTAGTTAATAATACGGCAGTATTATTAGCAAGTAAAGGGTTTACAGATTTTAAGTTTGTATTTGTTACTAAATCAGGAGCTGCAGCTAAAATCTCATTATTTGCAGATTCATCTTGTTCAGATGGTGTACTTGCTCGAATTTTTAATATATCAGAGCCCCATTTATAATATTTACAATATATATTACTATCGTCACTTAGCACATCTGGAACGTCGCACACTTTTTGGCAATGAACATGCCCGCCAAAAACTCTTTCAGCAGTCATTTTATAAAGTGGAAAGTCAGTAATGTTAGAGAACTTCCAATTTTGAGCATCGTTGCACATTGAATCAACTTTGACAATATTTTGAAGTTCACTTATTGAACCGCCTTGCAACAATAATTTTGAAGTACCTACTGCATCACAAAGCTGACTACTCATGTCGTAAAATATCAGACATTGCATTTGTTTACCATTAAAAGGTGGAACCGCTAAATTGCATTCTAGCATCTTATCCTCAATTTGTGATACAAGAAACTGGTTTTGACAATGGCTTGCAAGATCTTTGAGCAAATTAGCCAACGGGTGGATATTCGCAGAGGTGGATATTGGATTACTTAAACTTCGATAGCACATATTTAGCAGAAGTAATGTAATAATGAAGCGAAACATTTTTAATTTATAGTACGACTAAATACAATAAAACAATTTTCACACAGCAAAAACTTTTTCAAGCACAAACACGAAAATCGTATATATTATTCGATCAGTAATCACATCAGTCCTACATCAGTCGGTATAGAACTTTTGACAGTAACAGATTTTTTAGTAAAATTATTGGCTTGCATGCTTGTCTTTTAAGCCATGTTGTCACTTCATTCGGAATCTTCGTTTTTATCGTAGACAGAGAAACCTATAGAAAAATTGACGCCTTCTTTCGCATTCGCACTCGAAAAAGATAGATTTATGCATAAGTCTTGCATAGAAATGAGATAGAGCGGTGTGTTTGTTTGTCCCTTTCTCCGTGCCGGTTTTTTTGTTTAGCAAACTCTACACTTTGCTAAGCAACTTTGACAGCGTAGCGATTTAAAGAGTTTATATGTTGGTTTAAGCGAGAAAAAGTATTTTATGAGCTTAAGATTAGTGAATCTTGTTCAGTTCAGTTCTCAAATGTATAACCTAAAACTACGTTATCATCTTTTCTCACTCGAGGCCACACTGATCATTAGCTTATAGGTTTCTCTGTCTACGGTTTTTATAGATTTTTGCTTTACAATATACTGATGTGTCACATTGCAAAGTTTTTGGGAATTATGACGACAGCTCAACCCAGCAGACAGTAAATGACGACGGTCACTCAAGTTCATAAGGTGCCTAAGCGACCAAAATAACTTGAGTTTTATATCAACATCGAAGCACTTGTTTCGTCGTTTCCTCTACTAGTTCACATGCATACACACATTTAATGCACAAAATCGTGTTAAATATCAAAATTAGTCTCGTGTAGTTCGCGAACTATGAACGAATAGGAACCGTATCTTAGCACTGTACTGGAAGAAAAGTTTACGGTCGCTGATTGTTAATCGGCCTAATAGCTCTTTTCGTACACCGAACCATAAAATAAATAATAGTAATACGTGCAGAAGTTACACTTTTTTATGTTGACTGTTAACAGACTTTTAATGGCCTACATAATTATTATTAATGGGAAATAATCGCGCACGCAAGCTAAATAAAACTTTATCGCTGCGCGCGAGTGTCCATATTACTTTGCATCTTTTCCTCTTCCTAAATCACGGCGGACTTTCTGTTGTTACTAAGGGATGTCAGTAAAAAGTAAAAAAATAAATTGCGAAGTGTTAAGTAACTTAGGTGAAGTACCTATTCTATGATCGACTAACCATATTTTCGCCTCTATGTGAGTTCTGCGATGCCTAACGCATGGAAATTGCTAGGTCATTCGTCGGGAATCGCGATGCTTGGTTCGTAAGAAATAGTAGATAGTGTAAACAACAAATAAACCTGAATACGACTCGTAACAGAAATGTGATCTACTACTAAGTTAAAAATCTCGTTAGTACCTATACAAAGTTTTAATTTCAGTATTTTGTGTTATTATAACTTAAAATATTTTAATAACAAAAGACAAGTATAGGTATGTAAGTAGATACTTGGATAGTGAAGTAATTGTAATAAAGTACTTTTATCGACATATTTTGGACAATTCACACAATATTTTTATAAATTGTACCCTATGTATTATTCCGATGTATAATCTATATTATTGTAGTTTCATTAAAATCCATTCGTAGTTTTTACGTGAAAGAGTAACAAACATCCATCCATCCATCCATCCATACTTACAAAGTTTCGCATTTTTAATATCCTATTAATATTATACTACATTAACTTATAATGCATTAAACTGTACTATATGTATTACTTGTCTTATAATCAAATAAACAAAAATCAATTGTAATACAACTGAAATTAAAATAAAAAGTAATCTATATTTCTACTTAAATTATACTAACTAAAATAATAATTATCCCTACCTACTGTACTAAATAATAAATCTCTTCGAGAATCGAATGAGCTATAAGAAGGGACGCAAACTAAAAGTCTCCACCTTTCCTGAGCACCTGCTCACCTGCAACCACAACCACAAACTGCTTAACCTTTTTATCTATTATCTTCAACGCCTGCTTCAACCTTAGTTACTTTCCCACTTCGTGGAAAGAGGCAACTGTGATTGGTATTCCCAAGCCAGGCAAGCCTCTCAACCTCCCCTCCAGTCATCGCCCCATTAGCCTCCTTAAGGCAATGGGCAAGCTCTTCGAAAGAGTCATCCAAACTCGTATGAGGCGCTATCCGTTTCCTACAGATGGTGACCCTCTTGTCATTCCCCATCAATTCGGTTTCCGAGCACAACACTCATGTCCGCAACAAGTTCACCGTATTGTGGAATATATCCTCAGCGGTTTTTATCCTCGTCGTCATAAGACCATCGCGGTCTTTTTCGACATAGTTAAAGCCTTCGATAGAGTCTGACATACAGGCCTTATCTACAAACTGTACAAAATAGGTCTCCCCGATCGTCTAGTACGTCTCGTGGCCTCTTACTTAAAGCATCGTACCTTTCGTTTTAGACACGAATGCACGCTATCTTCACAGCGAACTATCAAAGCTGGTGTCCCTCAGGGCTCAGTACTTGCTCCTCTGCTGTACATCCTGTTCACCAATGACATTCCCATCCCGTCGAAATGTGTTCAGCTCTCCCTCTTCGCAGACGACACTGCTATCTACTGCAAAGGTATCTCACTACCTTTCATACGGAACAAGATTCAAAAGTCAGTTGACGACCTAGGAGCTTGGTTCAAAAAATGGCGCATCGATGTGAACCCGGAGAAGAGCTCCGCCGTTCACTTCGATTATAAACGACGCCGTCTCAAAAACACTCCACCATTACGTATGCTAGAGACCCCTGTCCCCTGGCATACGACTGCCAAATATTTAGGTGTCACACTAGACACAGGGCTCACTTTCAGGCCCCACGTCAAAAGAGTAACCCGTCACGCACGTTTTTATCTGAGTAGGCTCAACAGCATGTTGGGCCGACACAGTAGTCCCTTAGAAACAAGCGTACCCTTTATAAGGTATAGGTGTATACGACCAGTCATATCCTACGCGGGCCCCGTTTTTGCCCACGCCGACCCTAAAATTATTAATGAACTCCAAATAGTTCAAAACCTTTTCTGTCGTAGAGCTGCGAACGCACCTTGGTACGTCCGTAATGCCGACCTTCATCGGGACCTAGAGCTCCCCACAACTCAACAATTTCTCAAAAAACTCTCTGAGAACTTCTTCAAAGCCTCAGAGTCGCACTCAAACCATTTAATTCGTGAGGCAGCTACTTATGCAGCCCCACCCCCCAGGCCAACTCTAATTAAATTAAATTATTACCCATAATTAATTTGCCTTCGTAGGCACTCCCTCAGCGGCTCGTAGCCGCCTGCGCCCTCTTTTCCCAAAAGAGGGTCGCTCATGATAAGGTACAATAAAGCTTAATCAGCCGGTTGCCTGTCCCCAAAGGCGGTTTTTAGAGGGTATCACTTCGGGTCCCCGGTAGGATGTGAGTCCCTCATAACCACGATAGACCGGCTATCGTGGTATGCGTAATGCATTTCCGCCTCCCTACGTATAGGGTAGCCCTTTAATTGCTTCGGGCGCAAAAAAAAAGTCTCCACATAACCACGGAACCGGCTGCGTGGTATGCTATAAGTATTCACCGCCTCCCTCCCCCGCTTTCCGGAGGGTTGCCCATACTTGCTTCGGGCGAAAAAAAACATCAAACGTCAACGACGTCTGCCCTCCGCGTATGCCCACGTTGGGGTCGCACACTCTGCGATCGTGCGTCATTGCTTGGACCGCCTCTCTACCCCCGCTTTGCGCTGCTGCTCCATTCATGTGAATCTTATCGGGATAACTTTTAAAATATTTGTCGTAATTACTTTGTGTAAAAGACAAAGTTCATCTACATTAAAAATTGAAAGCGACAAATGTGTCAATGTTGATAATAATTTAATAAATACTCTAAAATATGCATTGTAAATAAGTATCAAATTTAATTGTATTTATGGCTCACTATTTTGGATATAATGGCTTCCACATAAAAGGTAGATATATGCTGTCGCGGACTTTTATTTCTAACTACTTAAGACAAACAATCCCACGGTATATATATCTTCGTGTAACTTTTAACAACTGTTGCTGAAGTGCGTTGCGTAGCGTTAAGCACTTTTTCTCCGATAAGGACTTTGCATTGAGTTTTGTGTCCCATGTTATGCCGAGAAACTCAAGGCACTGTGTCGGAATCAGCACAGACTTTCCGAAATTTATTGTCCAACCTAGTAACTGCATGATCTTTATCGTTAATGATATATCTTGTAGTTGTTGCATCGACTGGCTTGCCAATAGAAAATCGTCCAAATAAACTGCATTCGATTCCCGATTCCTGCACTGCCCCGATTCCTGAGAAACTCTGCTACCCAGTTTGTTATTGAGGCAAACGTTCTCGGTGCAGAGGAAAGGCCAAACGGTAAGCAGGTCCTCTGGAGCAGTAGGTGCTGGTTTAAATTGATGTGATAATTTAGTCTCAAGTATGTTCGATGACGCCGAGCAATGAAAGTAAGCTTGGCTTAGGTCTAATTTTGCCATCCAATCCTGGTGCTGCAGCAAGGTGGGTACTCGAAAGTGGCTGAACAATCTGAAGGGTTTCGTTTTGACGAACCTGTTCAGTTGTTTGAAATTGAATATTGGACGGAAGCTGCAGCCTGGTTTTGGCACCAAAACGAATGTGAAAAGGAAACTGGTCCTGTAGTTCTGAATCATAATTTGATTTGGAAGTATTAGAGGCGGCTTGAGTATGAATGGGATGTACGAGCCGCTTAATAGTCTGCATATTTGTTCCGGCGCGCCTAAATTGCTCCAAACACTTTGAAATTGTTTCAGACAGCCGCCATGAAATTTTTGACGAGTCATTTACGATCGTCATCTTTAAAGGAAGAATGCGACTGCGGTATCTTTCCTCTTTGTTTATTTTTGCCCGATTTATCTTGATTCTTTTTCCTCTTTTCGAGGGAATGCTTCGATGAAAAAAATATATCATCCGCTTGTTTACTCGTCGATGGCTATTGATTTGCATAAAAAAATACTTTTAAGTACGAGGCATTGATCGGGATTAAGTGATCAATTTCTGCCCCTCCAATTTTCTGAAGGTAGGTCTGAATGGAATAGTCGTTGAAGAGATGATATTCTTCAGGAATCTATTGCAATAATGAACCTCTGCGTATGTTCACTCGTTACTTTGCTATATGGTGACTCCTTAGAAAATAACTTTTAATTTAATTTAATTTCAATAATGTATTTGGAGTCAATGTTTGTTGAGAATCACTGGCCCAATCTACTAATGCTTGTGTGTGGCAAAGTAAGGCGTTAGTTAGTCCGGCGAAGGAACGTTCAAGCAAATAAGAACGAGGATCATCACGCAACATTGCAGATTCAAATGATTTAGCCAATCATTTACAGCAAGTTCGACAAAACCGGGGGGTAGATAAATATTTTTATGAGCCTCGATAAACAGTACAGCATACCAATCATCACAATTGAAACGCTGTAATTCTACTAATTTCTTTAAATGTATTCCATTTGCACGTGGGTAAATAGGATCTTTTACCGTGGCACTTAAATCTGATAGCTTGAGCTGGTTTATTTTGTCACCACCTTCTGTTGTAGGTCGGTGCAAGTTAAGATTAAGTGAAGGGACTATTTTTTGATTTTGGCATATAACTTCACTAGATTTTGTAATAATATTAGTTAAAAAGGCCACTTGCTGGGATAAAAATTCAAAATGTTCATTACTCACGGTTTGATCCATTTTTCTTTTCTTGTGTCTCCTTGTTCGACTGCAGACACTGTTTTTTGGCGAATCACTGCTATCCGAACTTGATAAAGTACGCACACGTTTATGAGAATTTAATAATGTAACTTCGTCGACACTTTGTTCCTCCATATTTTATCAGTAGGGTAGTTATTTATCACTTAATTTTAGTAAAATTGAAACTTCTTTGTGCTTACAAAGGCTGACTTGTAAAAGGCGCGAAAAACAACGCTATAACGACGAGACCTGGTGCACATCACTACTTAAATAACAAAGCAAAAACAGTGGTGGGGTGCCCCTCCATGGAGGTAAGGTAGCCGGAAGTGCTGACTTTAGGCGGAAAGACCAGTGCTTGACTCAAGATGGATTCTGGATATTGATACATAACAAATAATAATGTTTTTTGTTACCTATTTAAACTTTACTAGTTGTAAAATTTTACCTTTTTTTCAAAACATTATTATGAGATGAAAAATTATGCTTAATGGTTATTAAAATACAAATTATAATTATGTTAATTTTGAAATGAATAATAAGACAAATTATTGTTGTTTATCTCTATTGTGTTTTATTTTAAAATCCATATCAATGTTATTTTGAATTCATACAATTTGACTATCTGTTTGTGATGTGATATTATATGCCTAAACAGCTGAACTGATTTCGAAAACAAAGAGTTCAAACTGGTTACAGGATTTTATGTTCTATTTTGATGGGACGAGTCGCGAACAGGATGATTTGTAACCAGCATGAGTTACGAATTGGACAAGTTTCTCACATAGGACGAGTTACGAATGGGACAACCTGCTAACGACCCTAAATTATGTGATAAAATCTAAAAAATAAGTTAGATTTCAGTATTATAGGTACAAAAATACTAAAAATAAGAATGGACTGTATTATAAGAAGTAAGCAAATTTAAAAGATACATGCATGACACCTAGCAAGTAGTTTGGCTAAGTGGAGGCTCGCTATGTTGTATCTTGTTCCAACATCAAATAGCAGAAATCAAAATCAACAAAATGTTAAGTTAAAATTAAATTATTTATTTTTAAGTAGGAATTTTACAAGATTCTCTTTTAGAAAGTCAAAACTAATTAATAAAATGGTGTAGTTAACTTACAAAAATGTAAATAAATACATGTCAAAAATTAAAAAAACTACCAATTATTTCTTTCATTGATTGGAGTAACAGTCCTTACCGACCAGCAGTCTTTGCCGTTAATATAATCATCTGTCTTGTAATATAATAACAATGTAAATCATAGTTAAAAATTCTTTATTATGGGTGATTGCAAGTTTATCAGCTCACAAGCCACAACAACTGCATCATCCACACAGTTGACCAATTTATTATTTATAGTTGAATGAGGCTTCAAAAACTTGTACAATCTCACTCTTCGTATCACTCTTTCTATATGTATTCGCAAGCTAGCTTTCACTTTGGATTCAATAGCCTCCATTTTGGTCATCTTTTTATTAGCTGATACAGAAGAGGGACGAAGTAACTTTACAGTTTTTTTTTTTGTAAAATACTTTCAAGATGTTTGAAACCTCTATCAGCTAAAACAACTGAGTTTGGCTTAACAATGTCAAGGAAACCACTTTCCTCTACTAATTTAGCATCTGTGATTCTACCAGCGTATCGTTTAGATATAAAGGTTATGAAACCATCAGGAGTGGCACTTACACAATATTTTATGGTGTTGCAGTTTTTGTGCTGCGACCATGTAGCTGATTGTTCTACAGGTTTGATTGGTTTTTCTATTTCTATCTCAAAACAATTTATAATGCTCGGTACATTAGAATAGTCTTTATTTGTTCTAAAAGAAAGTGGCAAGTTTTTTTTAATATCAATGCCTGAAGACCAGTAAATAAATTGTGTACATATTGTGGAAATCATATCCAAAACCCTAGGGAAAATTCTTTGGAGTGTTCTCTCTGATACATTAAACAAATCAGCTATCTTATAAAATGGATCACCATGTTTTAATTTAAAGAGGATTGTTAAAACTGCTGGCGTTTTTGGGAACACCCAAATATCTATCAGTACTTTTTTTTGAAATCAAGGGCAAGAGGCACATCATATTCTTTTAATGTAGAATCAGTATTTGTTTCTTGCCCTGATATTTCCACAGTAATTTCTTGTGTAGAAGGCAAATATTCATCTTCAGATATAATATCTTCTACTTGACATGTAAATCCTTGTTTCTTTCTAACTGTATTTACTGCTTGGTCAACCATAGAGATTTCTACTTGTGTGCTGGTATGCTTGGGACTTACATCACATTGTACATCTTTTTCTTCTGAAAATTTCTGTCTTGAACATCCAGGTACATTGCGTTCCGCAAGAGTAACTGGAGTGATATTAGGTTCATATAATTTCATGGAAAGTAATTTTTCCGGTACTGAAGTTTTTAGCCGAGGATTATATTTCCCAAGTTTCCATTGAAAATAGTTTTCTATATCCTCTTCAACCTGAAATAATAGTAATCTTTTAATTCATCAAGAAACTAGAATGCTCTGTCAGCACATCAATTATTTCTACATACAATGTTTTAACATTGATTTAGTAGTTAGGTGGTTAGTATAGAAACCTGCCACAAGAAATAAGTTTGCAAATTTAATAACATTAGATTCCAAAAAGATTGCTTATTCCATATTTAGTTCAAAATTTAATGCAAAACTGTGATTTAGAAAAAAAATACAAAATCAGACAATAGTCCCTACTTTTTAAGATTAATTATTTAAGGTTAGGTTATTATTAAACTCTTATTCGTTTACCCTTTTGTTCATGGGTCACAACACACGATTGCAATAGGAACAGCAAAGGAACAGCTTCACCTGTTTTAGTCATGATTACGGATTACTTAGATAGACATATTATAGCTATATAACCCTAACTTCGTTGTTGCTATCACATTATAATATTTGATATAGATCTTACATTAATGTGATCCTCACATATATCCAAACTTGACGTGGGCATATCGGAACGACCTGCTGCTTTACACCAAGCTTTTCGGTTATTAAAAGTAACCTTAAAAAACATTTTTTTGGGAGTCTTTGTCGAACTATTTTTGCAAGTAGTGACGAAACAATACAGAAACTTCATCGGCTTCCAAGATTCTTCCTTGCTATCCATTTTAATTTATCTTTTTTATTTATAAGTGATTGTATTCGTTAAATTCACACAAACAAACTTGAAAAAAAAAACGGTAACGAGATGCAATGCAATGCAACAGAACGCAACAGAAGAACGAAGAACAGAAGCGTAGACAGAGCATCTCTGTCTACGGTAGACCTATAGAAACCTATAGACTAATGATCGGCGTGGCCTCCTGTGAGAAAGGACGATAACGAATTTTTAGGTTATACAATAATCTTTATGACTTTTAAACACATTTAGATAAAAATTTTAATTGTTCTAAGAACTGAACTGAACAAGATTCACCAATCTTAAGCTCACAAAACACTTTTTTCTCACTTAAACCAACTTGTAAACTCCTTAAATCACTACGCTGTTAAAGTTGTTTAGCAAACTGTAGAGTTTGCTAAACAAAGAAACCAGCACGGAGAAAGGGACAAACAATCACACCGCTCTATCTCATTTCTATGCAAGTCGTATGCATAAATCTATCTTTTTCGTGTGCGAATGCGAAAAAAGGCGTCAATTTGTCTATAGGTTTCTCTGTCTACGCTGTCTACGAACAGAAGCGTAGTTTGACAGTGACGTTTGATGGAATTATACTTTTTTACTCGGGGACGACGCGAGCAAAGGAAATATTCACATTCATGCCGAGGTGTGACGTCACCGACGTATTTTTAATTTTTTTCTCCAAAAATTTTATTTTTAAAAATTTCAAAGTATTTTTCCTGAATTCTCCAGAGGTTAATCTAGAACTGGTATTTTTTATTTTAACAATTTATTTTTTGTCGTATTGTCCATTACACAATATCTTTATAAATTGTAGCTTATGTATTATTCTGCTGTATAAACTATGTTACTGTAACATTTCATCTAAATCCGTTTATTAGTTTTTACGTGAAAGAGTAACAAACATCCATCCATCCATCCATCCATCCATCCATCCATCCATCCTACTTACAAACTTTCGCGTTTATAATATTAGTAGTATTCTTTTTTTGTTGTAAGTCTATAACAAAACACCTCTCATAACTTCTTTCTAAAATCTTTCGGTAACTTAAAGAATGTACCTATTTAACCTATTTAACAAAAAAAATGAAGTAAATTCACTTCTTATATTTTCTTAAATTTTTCGGTAACTTAAAGAATGATATGAAACCTTTTGTTAGTCATTTAGTATCCATCCACGCAACACTTAGTACTTAGTAGGAACAACGTTTTTCCATTATAATTTATCAAATAGGTAATAGTATACATAAAACATTATATATAATTTTTAAATTACATTAAAACATTTACAACTATTTTATCCTACAATTAAATATACTAAGCATTCAGCAAAGACTATTTCAACAAGTATTTACATAAAACTATTTACGTAAACAGCGTTAAAAAAAAACTTTAACATTCAATCGCCTATAACGTGCTAGCCCAGACTGCGTATAACGCCTAGGGCACCTCGGAATTTTAGGTACTAATTATATCACGCAGGTACAATGACCTCTATATATACAAGTACGCTGGACTGGCTATACACCGTGACATGCTGAAGCGATTGATTTCCGCCTTTTTGGCGCTGACAGCAGAAGTGCACGTCCACGGAACTAATAATAGGGATAAGACAGTGTACCAAATTATATCGATAAAATTTCTTTCTATACCCTACCTATACCTAAATAAATAGAATAGACTCTATGGATACATGGACTCTAACCGTAACGTCCATTCTAATTATGTATCATATTAATATAACGCCATTATCATTCATCATCATTAAAACCCTTCACAAGTCCACTGCTGAACATAGGCCTCCACCAAGGAACGCCACAAAGCACGGTCCTGAGCTACCTGCATCCATCAACTTCTTGCATGTCTTACGACTTTTGACTCCATCTAGTGAGAGAACGTTCTACACTTCACCTGCCGGTACGAGGCTGCCACTCGAGAACCTTTTTTCCCCATCGGTATTCGGTTCTTCGAGCTATATGGCTGGTCAATTGCCACTCCAGCTTACTAATCCATTTGGCGATATCGGGCACTCTGGTTCTGCTGCAGATATCCTCATTCCTAAGTTTGAACCCTGAGCATAGCCCCTTCATAGCTCGCTGAACGACTTCAAGCTTCCTCATACAGCTAGCAGTGAAAGACCTCGTCTCAGATCCACTGGCAACAGGCACTGGTTGTACAATCTAGTTTTGAGGTATTCCTGACGAGAAGGTATGTGTTGTAATCTCCCGAACGCTGCCCAGCCGAGTTGAATCCGTCGATTGACGTGTCGGTCGAAGTTGAACGTACCTAGTCGGACTATTTGTCCCAAGTAAAAATACTCGTCAACAACTTCAGCTAAGTGCTCCCAAAAACCACCGGCATAGGTGGGACATGGACATTACACATGACTTTTATTTTGTCATGTTGAGGAAACAACAAACTAAACAACTTCTCATTACCAGCAGCGATGATCAGTCGCAGATAGTTTTTTAGGAACTACACCGCACGCGCACCCTACGGACCAATAGTCTCTACAGCAAATTGCACAAATATGTACTTATCTTCCAGATACTCTGGGCTATTTACTTGATTCAGTTTCCTCTAATGCCACCCCTGCTTTAGACGAGGTACACCTGAGATTGGATGATGTCAAAGTGTTCTCAAGTAGTCTCCCACTCTAAAGCTTTATCTCTCTCTCTCTCTCTCTCTCTCTCTCAAGCAACCAAACCCGTCGGGTCTCTTGGTATCGTCTCTAAATATTCTACAAAGATCTTAAACCGAGGAAACATTTATAGAGATACGAGCTGCACTACGAACTCCCCAAGCTCGATATGTGAATGGAGCCAGGGAAAAACGAGCACTTGGAATCATCAAGTAGTGCAGCCTCACCAAAGTCGCGAAAGATAGTCGAGTGGCGCATCGCCAATCGCCATACCAACATTCCTCTTCCCTTACGACTCCACCTCGACTACAGCGGTCCAGGGAGAGGAATCTCCTCTAGTCGCAGCCCCCTAATACACATCCAACGTGGCTCGACATCATCAGGCGAAATTTCGACACTTGGCTATGGCTTTTGAGTTTGGTGGAAAATGAGGAAAGAAGAAATAAAAAAAAACATTCGAAATAATAATCTAATACTTTTATACTTACTGGTTACTGGTACCAGAAAATATTGTCGGTATACTGCACTTTTTCAAAGTTGTGCAGTTATCATATCTAATAAAACAGTCGTCTGTAAAATGTTTGGAACAAATATGATCATTTTGTTTCGGATGCCAGTTCACAATATTTATGCTTTTAAGCCATAATTTTAGTCTAGGTTCAGTTGAAAACCTGTTATTTAATAAACATTTGATAATCATCCGTTGTTGGCGACTTTTTTTGTTAATACATATGGGTAGGAAAGAACATCGATTAAGTATTATATAAAAGGAACTCGACAAGCCTGAATTTTATTGTTTATCAAAACTCAGTAATATACACCCAAGCATGTTGGTATATAATATGATATTAAGATTAGTAACAAATTTTTAAGTACTTATATTATAAAATGGTTTTAATTTTTTTAATATTTGCTTCAAATTTATTTAATTGTGAAATCTTATAACAATTCTCTTTTGGTAACGAGTTTTACAGATTACTCACACTATCATTATTAATAAAAATAAATCTTATTATGTAACTAATATTATACACAATCAAACAACAAAATAATTTCATTTTTTAGTTTAAAAGTTCAAAATACAGACTTATGAAATAAGACAATATAAATAAGACAACACACTTAGGCATATTATGTCAATTTTATTATTCGCTTCAAATTGGCACAGTCATTTTGTATGTTATAGTCAGTCCAGCGTACTTGTATATATATAATAAATAATATAGGTTTTTGGCAAAGCTCTTTAAGAAGCTGTTGCTGCCAAATAAAGAAAAAACCCCATAAGGGCTAGCGTACTAGGGATATTGCACTCTCGAGCTCGGACATTGCGGCTGAGGTTATGGGATTATTTAATTATTTATTTACGATGTAAATAAATAAATTGCTTGTGGATAAACTAATATCGGGTGCTGATTGCGCATGTAAAAATCTACAAATTTACATTGTTTAACTATTCTTTTACCGTCATTTTAAGCAAAAAATATAAATTTATTATTTCACAGCACTCGCCTTATTTTTTTAAATATCTAAACAAATATTTGACGCGCAAACAAATAATTAGTACCGATAAACATCATACGCGCAATCGATTTATACTAGTCACATTTTTAATAATTATTTCCGGGTGCCAATTTCATGGATCTCTTTTATATATAGAGGTCAGTGCGCAGGTAGTTTGAGTGACAGAGGCCTGACCGAACGAAAGTGCGAACGAGAATATACGAAAGTGAGTGAACGAGAGAATAGATGAGACGTTAAAGAATAGACGTTAGTTAAATCAATGCAACGTTTATATATATTTATATATTAACTTACCATCCGAAAAGATGCAAGATTCGTTGTGTTCGCAAATTATTATATTTATTATAATAAATAAATATATACAAACAAACAAACATTTGATTGGTTCGTTTCGGCACTTGTGATCGCGTAAAATTTAATAAAGGTGAAGTTAATATGTTATAATTATAGCAACTATTGAGGAGAGTATTATGTTTTTTATTATTGTTTTAATATTTGTTTAATCCTTGGATGCTTTTATTTTCGCATGCTATGTATATGAGATTTCATTTTACTAATGCTAATTATATTTCAACACTAATTTGCTTAAACTTATAATTTGACCAAGAAATTATTAAATGTGTGTGTGTGTGTGTGTGTGTGTGTGTGTGTGTGTGTGTGTGTGTGTGTG